GAGGCGGAGGTTGCAGTGAGTTGAGATTGTACCACTGCACTCCTGCCTAGATGACAGAGTGAGATCCTGTCTCAAACCAAACAAACAACAAACAAAATTATCCAGGTGTGGTCGTGGGTGCCTGTAGTCCCAGCTCTTCAGGAGGCTGAGGTGAGTGGATCGCTTGAGCTAGGGAGAGGGAGGTTGCAGTGAGCCTAGATCACACAGCTGCACTCCAGCCTGGGCAACAGAGGGAGACCCTGTCTCAAAAAACAAAACAAAACAAAACACAAAAGATAATTGGAAGCTTTGACATGGTTGTATCTTAGAATATGTGCAAATAAAATGCAAAAATGTGTACCAACTCACTGAGGCATTTTGTTGAAGTGATTTATCATTTTCCTCATTGCCAGCAGGTGACACAAGAAGAGTTTAAAACAACAGCAGCTTTTAATGGCTTACAGAACTTTCTGAATTAAAAGTCTAGTGTTGTGACTGCTTAAAAAATCTGATCCCCATGGCTGACAGATGCTTTAAGGTATTGACCCATCCCTCCAGGCTCGCTGCTTCCTCCACTTTCTCCTCCTCCAGGCAGCCTTCCCTGACCACTGCAGACCATGATGGTCCTTCCTTTTTCTCACTTCCACGTGCTGACCCCACAGTTGAGGAAAGTACTGGCTTATCCCAAAGCTAAGGAGCTCCAGGGCCTCTACAGAAAATAGAAAAATTTCTTAACGTTACCCTAGTAAGTGGTGACAAATGTAGTGGCTAAAAACAATATAAATTTATTATATTACAGTTCTTTTTTTTTTTTTTTCTTGATATGGAGTCTCACTGTGTTACCCAGACTGGAGTACAATGGGATGATCTCGCTTCACTGCAACCTCCGCCTCCCAGGTTTAAGCAATTCTCTCAGCTCAGCCTCCTGAGTAGCTGGGATTACAGACACCTACCATCATGCCTGGCTAATTTTTGTATTTTTGCAAAGATTTGTTTTCACCATGTTGGCCAAGCTAGTCTTGAACTCCTGACCTCAAGTGATCCGCCTGCCTTGACCTCTCAAAGTGCTGGAATTACAGGTGTGAGCCACCACGCCTGGCCAATATTACAGTTCTGAAAGTCAAAATGGTAACATGGTAGCCTAGTAAGCTGAAAACATTACTCGTTTTGGCTGTTTTGTGTGTTACAAAGCATTGCCGATATCTTTTTTTGTTGTTGTTGTTAATCCTCAGATTGTCACTTCTTTATCCAGAGGGATGGCCTTTGGTCAGGTCCCTGTATCTTTTTTTGACTAAATTGCATTAATAGTTGACAGTGTCCTTGCTTTCAATTATAACAAGATACACAGGTTCATTTTGTACCTTTTCAGACCAATATCTGGAATCAGCCATTTTCTTTTGGGTCTGTGGTTCTCTTTACTAGTCAATAGCATTTAGAGATCATGGTCTGGGTCCTGGGAGTAGCCATCTCTTCCTTACTGCAGCAATGTCTTGATTACTATCAATTAATAGTAAGTCTTAAAATCGGGTACTGCTTCTTCCAACTATATTTTTGATTTTCAACATTGTTTTGGTCTTCTAATTTATTTTCTTTTCCATATATATTATAGAATCAGCATATCTATAACTATAAAAATCCTGGTGGGATTTTAACTAGTATTGCATGAAATTTAAAGGTCCATTTGGGGGAAAGTAATGTCTTTACTATGTTGACACGAATGCGTTCTCGTTTTATGTAGGTATTCACTGATTCCGTTATCAGCATTTGTCATTCCCAACATACCAAACTTTACATGTCTTGTTAAATCTATGTCAATGTATTTCACTTTAGGGGAGCTATTCTACGTAGCATTGGGGTGTGTGTGTGTGTGTTTTAATTTGTGTTTCTAATTGTACACTGGTAAGATATAGAAATATGGTAGATTTTGGAGTGTTAACCTTGTATTCTGAGACCTTGCTAAATTCACGCATTAATTCTAGAAGGTTTTTGGAGATTACTTAGGATTTTCAGGCTACTCGTTCACCTCAGAAGGCTGCTCCACCGTGACATTGCTTGTCCTGACCTCTGAGCCAGACTTGCCAGGCATTGCCTTTCTGGAAGATTGTCAGCTGTCATGGCAGATAGAGACAAACAAGTAAGATGAAGGATGCAAACCTCTTACATCTTACACCTGGAAGTGACCCACATGATTTCTGCTCACATTTAATTGGCCAAAACAAGACACATGGCCACTTCTCAGTCAAAAATTTTGTGAAGTGCTCTTTTAGGTGTATGCCTGGAGGGAGACAGAAAACAACATATTTTCCAAGCACCCTACTGTGGTGCAACAGAAGATGTTCAAATCTGTTAGGATTCCTTTCTGTAACATGGGCCAATCCTGGGAAATTAAAGACCTTTGTGCTCTGGTTTTCTGGGAAGTGCAGAGAATATGTTAATATTGCATCTTTAATTGACTGAAATGGTAGAAGTGTTTGTTTTAAGGTAGTGGTTGTCAAACTTGAAGAGCTTTGTTTAAAAAAAAAAAAAAAAAGAATTCCCCAGGTGACTACTGCTAGATCTTTAGACTTCTAAATCTGGGATAGGACTCAGGAATCCTTGTTTTGGAAAGCTCCTTAAGTGTTTTCATTATTAGAGCTGAGAACCACTCCATGAAGGATAGAAAGAGACCTGGGCCCCAGGTGGTAATGAAGTGAGCTGACCTGCTTGCCAGACCCCGGTGACTTCCTCTTCAGGAGAAGCCCTGTCTCTTCCTGTAAGTGACTCCCAGGCTGTCTCAGGGTCTCTGCTTGTTCCTTCACTAACAGCAGCACTGGGGTAAACACAGAAGAGGTGGATGTGTGCCGGATTCCAATGCCAGGAAATGTTTTCTGCTGGATGTCTGTATCTCAGTATTTCCCTCAGACATAAGCACATTCAAGTAAAAGGCAAAGAAAGCCTCTTCAAAATTACGGTATGTTAAGGCAGAGAGAGACTAAAAGGTAGATTCATAACCGTCTGCCTTCTGTTTTTGTGGCTACCTGGATATTGAACATCCTCTGAAGCAACAGGACTGCATGAGCTTGGTGTGGCTCAGCCCGTCTCCTAATGAAGATCCAGAAAAGAAAGACACTCAGAAAGCCAGGAAAGTGGAAGATTTTTTTTTTTTTTCAGCCAGCCAGGCACCTGACAGTAATCAAAATCTGTAAAGAACAGGATGTGGCGCCTCCTCTGCTTGTTCAGCATGAACATTTTGTGGTGGGTACTGCAAATAAAGATGACTCAGACACAGTCACTATGAGTCCACCCCGGGTCACTCATAGTCCGGTGCAGTAGACCAAAGCTGTGAATGCTAAAGGGCAGACCATTGGCCCATCCAGGGAGAGCGGTAGAAGAGGGAACATTTATTTGAATAGCTGTGATGCTACCAGTCTGACAAAGGGGGAAGGTATCTTGAGAATAAGAAGCAATGTTTTCAAAACACAGAGGCAGAATGGATAGAATGGGGTGAACACAGTAAGGTGCAGAGTGTGTGATAAACATACTCGTCAGGTCTCAGATGAAAGTGAGCAAGACCTACCTCCACTGTGATTAAGCCTATAAAGACAGACATACACAAACACACAAATAAGACAATGTGTTTTCTTATGCTGCTGAAAGGTACAAGAGGGGACCAGGTTTTCAAAAATGTCTTCAGGTAACGGGATTTTCATATCTGGATCTATTTTATTCTGTAATTTTCAGGTAGATGCTTCCCAAATAAAACAAGACAAACACCTGCATCTCCAAGCTATTCATCTATCAGCAGAGAAAACCAACGGAAGAAAGGGCAACTTCCCTTAGTATTCTCAGCAAAGCCCCAGGAAGAGATCTCAGTAGCCTTCAAGCCTGCCCTTTAAATACTCTCTAAGAGGTGTGACGCCCTGATTGGTCAGACCTGGGTTAGGTGACTTCCCTGCATCCTGAGGTTGAAGTCAGCCCCATATGAAGGAGATGCATGGAGCTGCAGGGATGGTGGTGAGAAGGGAGAAGGCGAATCTAAAAGAAAAAAAAAAAGAAAAATCAAGTGCTAATTTCAAAAGGGGGATTAATTGTGGTAAGAGAGAAAACAGAAACAAAACAAAAACAAGCAAGTCACAGTTGCCTACTGCAAGCAGGCAGTCACTAAGTAATTTTTTGCTATCTTGTGTTTATATGCAATGAAATTTTTCCCAATGTGAGGCAGAGTCAGATAGAAATCTGCAGAAATGCATGTTCTAGAGGGAAAAAGTAGGATGAATGCAGGGCAGGTAAATAGTGCTGCACAGTGCGTGTGTGTTTGTATTCTTTTTGTTTCATTTTACTCTGCTTTATTTTCTCTGTAATGAAAATAAAACATTGAAGCATTCACAGAGACCATGATGCCTTCTTGAAGGAGAACACTAGCTTGGCTCAGAAACCTGTTTTATTGCCCACCCATTGTTTACAACATTGTAAGTGTAGAATAGGTGCAGAAAATACAAGGGTGCTCTTAAAAGAACATTTGAAAGATTTTGTAATGTTTATAAATGGTATATAATTTTTCAACTCCACATTTTAAGAGGAAAAAAAAGTGATAAATACTGGATGTCTTGGCCTGTTGGTTTGTTTATCTGTTTGTGGAAAGGCTGATGTAACCACCCGACTGTTCTTCCTGCCTGCTGCACAAACAAAATCAATTCACAGAGAGCGTGGCATTGCAGCAAAGAAAATGTAATTGACATGAGGCCAGCCACACCACATGGGAGAGGGTTATTACTTAAATCAATCTCATCAAAGGCTGGTAGACTGAGGGTTTTTCAAAGCTGGTTTTGAGGCAGGAAAATAGGGTCTGGAGGCAGGGAACATAAGGCTGATTCACACTTCAGCTATAACAGGAAATATCCTCTCCATAGGGCGTATGCTGTAAATGACTTTGTAACTTTACTTCATCCTCCCCATTTACATAGGGCGTACCCAAAGCAACCAATGGAACAAAGAATTGGACAAAACGCACAAACAAAGCAAGGAAGGAATGAAGGGTTTTATTGAAAGTGAAAGTACACTCCACAGTGTGGGAGTGAGCCTGATCAGAGGGGCTCAAAGGCCCCCTTATAGAATTTTTGGGAGTTTCAATACCCCCAAGAACCTGGACACCCTCCAGCATTAACATATTTGGTGACTCAGGAAGGAGGAAGAGGTAAGCCCAAAATCTGGGATTTATTCTTCTCCTTTCTCCTTTTCTTTTCTACTCCATAAAGGGGAATCTCTTTCTCTCTCCTTTCCTTTCCAACCTGGAGCCCTTGGTGGGCAGCATCTAAACATGGAAGCGACTTCAGGTTTCTGACCATGGTCAGTGAAACTAAGGGGTTTCCATGTGGAGAAGCCTGACCGCCACCACCCGGTTCACTTAAGGAATGTGGATCTCTTTCATTTTTTTCCTCTTTCTTTTTCAGTCTTTCAATGGCTGTTTCCTAGTAGCTCCTTGGAAATTGAGGGCAATTGACTGGGGTCACTCCCTGGTATTGCCTGAAGGCCTAAGAATGAATAGGAATAATCGGTCTGCCCCGAAGGGGAAGGATCTTTTTTATATGTTTTCGGTGTGTGGTCCCTGATCTCTATGTGTGGCACAGCTCAGAGCAAACTCGTACATGTTTCAGGTGACTTACACCTTCTTTTCCTATGCTAAATTCTTCCCTTCCCCTATTCAACTGGCTAAGGGTGAAGGAAAACCACCCAGCCTCCAGTTCCTATCATTAAAGCTCATGGAACAAGAAGCATGGAAAAGCATGGCCTTATCAAATTATAAGGATGCTCTAAGTTGGGGATTACACCCAGGTACCAAAGGAAAGCTCACGGTAGGCTCTGGAGGGAACACATGCAAAGTGGCACCAGTGCCTACCTAAGGCCAGAGACATCTGGAGCTCTAAGATTAGACCCCACGAGTGGACGCTCCGGGGGATCCTTTGGCCCTCAAACTCTCCAAAGAGGATGCTCCTGGCAAAGGTTCTGAGGTCTAGTAATAAGCCCTCCTTGGAATTTTCTCTCACAGTTGCAATGCTGTTTGGCCCCAAAATTGCTTAGAATCTGAAGTTTACTGTCTAATTGGAAAGTGGGATGGAATTGCATGTATTCAGGCTTTTGTGCTGCCGTTCTAAGCAGGGAGCCTAGTTCTAAGCAGTGACACCCTCCTTTGGTACTATTCGGCCCCAGTGTTCCTTGGAGTCTGGGGAGGTTTAGCCTCTAAAAATCAAACTGTCTTGGAGACTGATGTACCCAAAATTTTGGTTGACAGCCTTCCTTGGATTATCTACTGGGGCAAAGTAAAACTGGCAAGCTTGTATTGCTATCTCACGGCCAAGGTTCCAAGCTATTGGCTCTTCGTTTATGTGTGTCTAGATGTGGTTATTTGTATATATACTTATTGTTATATATTGTGTCTTCCAAATTGGTTATAAGTAAAAGAATGCTCATAAATTAAGTAAAATAAGTCTGAGCAATTTTCAAGTTCACATAAGTATATCTTTACTAAACAAGCTGGCTTTACAATTATTGGTGGAATAAAAACAGAAATGCCCTCAGAATTGTCAGCATGCATTTTGTCTGAATTTTATGTTTGTCTTTGCTAGATATTTTAAAACGTTAATGTTAGTTCAAGCTGGGAGCTGCTAGGGGCGAGTCTGCCTCCCATTCTATTCAAAGTCTCACTGAGATAAATGCATATACGATTGCTTGCTTCCTTTGGAAAGGCTAATCAGAAAGTCAAAGGAATGCAACCATTTGTCTCCCACCCATGATCTGAAAGCCCCAAGCCCCCTCCTCTCTTTGTGTTGTCCCACCTTTCCGGACCAAACCAAGGTTCATTTGGCAAATGTTGATTGATGTCTCCCTTGTTAAAAATAAAAAATTGAGTACAGTGAAGAGGATAATTATTTTAAGCAAACGTTTTGTGTAAATTAAAATCTTAAAAGCTATTTTTAATGCTCATTTGATCTACGGGTCATTTCCAATTAAAAACGGGTTGTAATATGGAGAAACGTGTTTCTAAAATTGTGGCATTATTCTTCCCTATAAATGCCCATATCTAATAGTTCAGAGTTTGCTTTTTAGGGTTTCCCTAAAGTTTTAAGTTACTAAAAATGAAATTCTATGTAGCACGTAATTCTGTATACAAAATGTGCCAGAAAGTTTATGTTATTAGTGGAAAAAAGAATAATTTTGTCTAATTCAGAAGTTGTATAAAAGTTAGTTCAAATTACAGATTTGCAAACATTATTTATGAATCAATGTAGTAAGGAATCATTAAGTGGGGAGAAAGGAGTGGATAAAGTTTAAATAATAAAATATTCCTCAAAACCTGATAAAGAATTGGAAACATTTGGCTAATTAACATTTTCATAGTTAAAACTCTTAGTGTTGATTAAGGTAAGAAGTATCGTAAAAATGCATCGGCAGTTTCGCAATTCTTTTTTCACTATAGTTAAGCATGAGGCTGAATTTAGCGTAAAACCAATTTCCACACACATGCTTGCATTGCTTCCCTCTGTGTTTCCCATTTTCCGTGAACAGTGCTGGAGTACTTATTGGTCATGTACCTAAAGTGGATTTCTTGATTGCACAGAATGTCTAATGATATTGGTGAACTTAAGGATATTGAATTGTATATCAGGAATAAAATAGTCATTATGTGGGTTTTTGGGGGCCCTAGGTAACACTGCAGTTTTCAGGGTAAGTTGAGTATGAAAATTTAGGGATTTTTGTTTTATTTTGTTTATTTGTTTTTGCTTCTAGTTTTCATTGGTTTCCTGTTTGTTCTTCTTTGGCTTTGCTTGTGTGTCTCTCCATATAAACCTATGCTAGGGGAAGGCTTTCATTTGGTTCTGTGAATAGTTATTTTGTTTCCTATGCATTTCTAGCAAGTCATCATTCATTCCATTTATCTGGAATTCCTAAAGCTACCTTTGTTGGGCTATAGGAATTAATGGAGTACACCAGCTTTTTATCTTTAAACAAACTTTGGCTTTTAAGTTTCCTGATACTTCAAGGGTATAGAGTGTACTCTCACAAAGAGAATTTGAGTCATATTTCTCTCTGTCTCTCTACCTAATTTCTTCAAAATTTGTAGAGTGTTTGTGAATATTCTTGATTCATGGCAATGTGTTTGTTTGCAAACAGTCAGGCAGGGTCACCAGGGCTGCTCAGGGAGAGAGAACCTAGAAACCCGGCATGCAGACAGAAGGGTAAGAATTTCTTACATCAGTCTCTGGCCTCTTTCTCTCTGTGCAAACTGGTTAATCTCCTCTGTGAAGTTTTAAATTAATTATGTCACATGAGTCCGCATTAAGAGAGTCCACCAGCAGACTTTGTGTGAGCGACAAGGCTATTTATTTCACTTGGGTGCAAGTCAGTTGAGTCTGAAAAGAGAGTCAGCAAAGGGAGATAGGAGAGGGGCAGTTTTATAGGACTGGGGTAAGCAGTGGGAAGTTACAGTTAGAGGTGATTATCTATTATCAGCAGAGGAGGGGGTCACAAGGTGCATGATGGGGAGATCATAAGACTCTTTGTCCAGGAGAAGAATGTCACGAGGTCGATCGATCAGTTGGGGCAGGGCAGGAACAAGCCATAATGGAATGTCATAAGGTTGGTCAATCAGTTAAGACAGCAGCTGGCTGTTTCCTTTTTTTTGTAGTTTTGGGTTGCCCCAGACTTCTTGGCTCCTGCAGGCCATCTGGACGTATATGTGCAGGTCACAGGGGTTACAAGGGCTGAGCTTCGGCTCGGAGGCCTGACATTCCTGTCTTTTTACTTATAAAATATGAAGTTATAAGAAAAGATAAAGAAAATATAAGTTTTACTGGGGATTATTGGGGTAGGGGTGATGTTTCTTGGGACTGCTTCAAGTGTGACCAGTGACTGCACAGATACCTTAAAGAAAATTCGATAGTGAGTTAAAAGGATTAGGAATTTAGGCTGTGGGGAGATCCTGGGGCAGAGGATGGTACTGTGGGGTTGTTAAAAGTAGCATTTATCATATAGAATGATTGGTGATGGTCTGAATGAGGTTTTGTATGAATTGAGAAACCATACAGAAGACACAAGGCCTGAATAAGAGAAGGAAAAAAACATATTAAAAGACTAAGAATTGGAAGGACCCAGAACATCCAATTAGAGAGTGCCAAAAGGGGTTCAGCATCATTATTTGCTTGGTGGGTGACTTTTGGGGCTCTATCCTTGAGTTGTTGTTTTTTGTTTTTTTTTTTTTTTTGATGTTGTCATATACCAGGCCAGATTGATTTAGCTAAAAACAACACTCTTCATTTAAAAATATAGAGTCCTCCTTTTTCAGCAGTAAGTCGAGGCCTATTCCTGTCTTCTTATATTAGTAATGAGAAAAGCAAAACAAAATAGTAGTAAAGTGTTGGTGTCATGAGGGGAACAGGAAGCTGTTGGGTCCTATTTGCACATTGATTTTGGGGGGTGAGGAAAACTAGTGTACACATGCCTATCCAATTGATAGGTAGACATGTGTATGTGGAGGAGCCACAGAGGAAGGGGAGACTTTTGTAAGGCAAAACTGGAAATGTAAAGTGAAAAGATGGGCAGGAGCAGCAAAATAAGTGTCTTGCACCCAGACTCTTAGGGATTTAGCGAGGGCAGCAGCCATTAGAAGTTGTAACGGGGATTGATGGGGCAACTGGGTGGGAGGGGGCGTTGATTTTTATGGTGTATGAGAAAGCACATAGTGTCTACAAGCAACCTTTCATTGCTATTCATGGGGTTGGGTAGAAGTAAACAACAAAGGGGATTGGGAGGAGAGACTGAAGAACAAGGGGAAGGTAGCCAAGGATGGAGTGAAATGCAGGGCAAATGTCTTAAAGGAAATGAGAGGTTCTTAGTGGCATACTAGTGGCTTGTTACCCACATGGAAGAGGTTATGAAAGGTTGATAGAATGGAATGAGCCTGTGAGGCTGGAAGGAGGATTTTTCAGTGGGAGAATAAGTAGGAGTGACTGATGAGAAGGCGAAAAACTGGCTATGAGGGACAGAAGTAGGAATACTGGCTGCTGCTTTAGCTGTCTTATCAGCATAATTGTTGACTTGAGCAATAGGGTCTGAGGCCCTTTGATGGCCTTTGCAGTGAAGGACTTTGGAAGGACTTTCCAGTTTCCTTTGGAAGTAAAGCAGGCTTGAGAAGGGTTTTTATGGCATTAATGATGGAGGACTCTTGTGTAGTAAAGAAACCTCTTTCAGCCCATATAACAGCATGGTGGTGCAGGATATGCAAGGCATATTCAAAGTCAGTATAAATATTGACACGCAGTCCTTTTGTAAGACTGAGGGCTCGAGTTAAGGCAATGAGTTCGGCTTGCTGAGAGGTAGTGGAGGGGGGCAGAGCAGTAACCTCAATGATAGATGTGGAAGATACTATAGCATAGCCTCCCTTTGCTGGTGTGTGGCGATTAGGCCTGGTGGAACTGCCATCAATAAACCAAGTGTGATCAGGGTGAGGAACAGGAAAGAAGGAAATATGGGGAAATGGAGTGAATGTCAGGTGGATCAGAGACATACAGTCATGGGGGTCAGGTGTGGTATCAGGAATAATGTAGGGGCCAGCCTGAAACAGTAAAGTCAAGTTGTTTGGACACAAACGCTACAGGGCGTGGTCCTGCCTCTTGTGTAAGAATTCTGACCACACAGCCCTGTACTTTGGCTGTGTGTAATGAAAAAGGGTTGGCATGAGTTAGAGAGAGCTAGTGTGGGAGTAGCTTCTAGTGCTGTTTTTAAGGAATGGGAAGAGGAGTGGGGAAAGGATTTAGGATCTATGGGGTCAGCTAGGTTTTCTTTTGTGGGTTTATATAATGGTTTATTCAGGATGGCAAAACCAGGTATCCAAAGGCAAAAGTACCTAAACATGCCTAGAAAGGAAAGGAGTTGTTGCTTTGTAGAAGGGGTTGGGGTTTGGGAGATTAGCTGGACACAAAAAGGGGTTGGGGTTTGGGAGATTAGCTGGACACAAGAAGGGGTTGGGGTTTGGGAGATTAGCTGGACACAATCAGCAGGGAGAACATGTGTGTTTTTATGAAGAATTATGCCAAGATAGGTAATGGATGAGGAAGAAATTTGGGCTTTGGAGGGGGATACATGATATCCCTTTTAGAATAGATGTTGGAGAAGCAGGAGGGTGTCCTGTTGGCAAGATATGTAGGAGGGGCTATAAAGTAGAAAGTCATGAAAATATTGAATAAGATGAGAAGCAGATGCATGGAAAGAAAGTAAATCATGAGAAAGGGCTCGACTGAAGTAATGGGGGCTGTCCCTGAAGCCTTGAGGCAGTACAGCCCAGGTAAGTTGCTGAGACTGATGGGTGTCAGCATCAGTCCAAGTGAAAGTGAAGAGAGGCTGGGATGAAGGATGCAAAGGAATAGTAAAGGAAGCATGTTTGAGATCCAGAACAGAATAATGGGTTGTGGAGGGAGGTATTGAGAATAGGAGAGTATATGGGTTTGGCACCACTGGGTGGATAGGCAGGACAATTTGGTTAATAAGGCACAGATCCTGGACCAGCCTGTAAGACTTGTCTGGTTTTTGGACAGGTAGGATAGGAGAGTTGTAAGGAGAGTTCGTAGGCTTTAAGACGCCATGTTGTAACAGGCAGGTAATAACAGGCTTTAACCTTTTTAAAGCCTGCTGTGAGATGGAATATTGGCACTGAGCGGGATAAGGGTGATTAGGTTTTAGTGGGATGATAAGGGGTGCATGATCAGTTGCCAAGGAGGGAGTAGAGGTATCCCATACTTGTGGATTAAGGTAGGGAGACACAAGGGGAGGATGTGAAGGAGGCTTTGAACTGGGGAAAAGGGTGGCAGTGAGGTTTGGCTATAGCCCAGGAATAGTCAGGGAAGCAGATAATTTAATTAAAATGTCTCGACCTAATAAGGGAGCTGGGCAGGTGGGGATAACTAAAAAGGAGTGCATAAAAGAACGTTGTCCAAGTTGGCACCAAAGTTGGGGAGTTTTAAGAAGTTTTGAAACTTCCCCATAAATACCACAACAGTTACGGGGACAAGGGAAACAGGCCCTTCAAAAGAAGGTAATGTGGAGTGGGTAGCCTCCATAGAAGTTGAACACGGGTGCTGTCCTCCATGCGGCGGTGCTGTCTTCAGAGAATTTTCCTATTTCTGTCACCTGGGCTCATCCCTGCGTGCCCTGATCTGCCTGTCCATGTACAGCTGCAGCACATGCTTGATGCCTGTCTAACCACAGCGTTCTCAGCCATTACACTGACTCAGTGTCACTGTGGGTGGAATGAGATGACAGACATCCTGCAGGTCACAGAAGCACCGTCGGGTAAAATAAAAGCAGCTTCTGCTCTTCCTCCTCCAGTAGCTCATGTTTGACTCCCAAATCCTTCTCAAATTGAGAAATATGTGGGTGTTTTATTTCATTTTCAAGGTTTTTCTCAGGATTTGAAATCTCCTACCTAATAGTTACTGAAGTTTAAGAAAAGCAAAATACAAAACTGCCCCCAAATCTCTGTGCTGCTGTTCATGATCTCCCCTTAGGGTATAGTGCTCAGAAAACCAATGACTAATGATCAGACCAGTTTCTATCCTATTTTCAGGAACCATCTACAAAGTTTCCATGTTGTGAGAAGCACCAAAACCCCATCTGTAATTCCGCTATGGGCTGCCTGGCGCTGATTCTTAATTTTGCAACCCCTCAGCTCAGCACAAGAGATAGCATCCTATAGTTCACCTGCTGCCACTTGCGTAGGGAATAAAAATAGCAACAGGTCTTCCAGACTCCAGTATCCAACCCCACACATTTTTAACACCCCTTGCAGAGAATCCATCTCTCTCTTTCTCTCTCTCTCTCCCCTTTCTCTCCCTCCATCAGTTCAAACTTTTGCACATGTGTTGGCATCTTTCATGCTTCTGTTAAACCAGAGTATAGTTTTTCTTGTCCAGAGGTTTAAAAGCAAAACAATTTGAGCTGCTAGAAGATAAGGTGATGACTTCCTGTTAGAGTTTATCCATTCTGAGGTTCATTTTTACACTTCTGTGAAAGTGCTTTGATTGATCGCCAGAGCAAAGACACAGCAGTTCCTAATTTGAATGTTTCAGAACCGATTGAGAGCCCTGGTTCAGCCACTGGGATACAGGCCAAGCTGTCAGAACTTGTTTTGCTTTGTTACAGGAGAAGGCTAACGTAGGTGGGTGTGGAGGCTGCAAGGCAGGGATTACACTTCCTGAAACTGCAGCCTTCCGGGAGGGGGTGTGAAAGCAATCACAATATTGAACACGAAAAGTTTAATGGTGTTGTTTGATTGAGACTTCGAAAGGTGAGACTGAAACACAGCACGACGAGTTCATAGGTTGCCTTTTTTTTTCATTATTTCTTTTTTCTTTCAACAGGTCTTCTTTTCTGTAGCAAAGTGACTGAAGTAAAGTGGATGTTAGGAGATGTCAAAATATGAGAAGAGCTGGAAATAAAGAAATAAAGAGGATCAGTTGTTCAAACATTATAAGCAGGATTTTCCATAAAAGAAAAGAAAAAGGATAGATGGATTGATTTGTATTTTCATTGATTATTATAGTACCATAGATATCCATGGGCTTCTCTGATGGCCAAGAATGTAAAACTAGGCCAAATATCATGGTTTCTTCCATTTAAAGCCAGAAAAACACCTTTGGCAGAAACAAAATTAGAAGGTGGAAAGTTGCTGTTGGATTGAGATATGATTACCTTGGATGTCCAACAACTTGTGGCAATATCATCTAGTAAATCTAAGTCAACACCAATCTGTTGACTCAGAAGTCCCCCTTCTAGGCATACCCCCAAGATAAATTTGTTCTCCAAAAAAAAAAAAAAAAAAAGTGATTTCTTCATAAGAGCCACATCTGGAAACAACAAAAGTGCCCACAAATAAGAAAACAAATTAACACATCACAGTGTGTTCATACCATTGAATATTGCAATACAGCAAAAACTAAATATAGCAATAGAAATGAAGTATTTCTACGAAGAGCAATATGCATAAATCTCCCAAACATTAGAAAAAGAGCAGGAGAAGCCAAACACAAAATAATCTATAGTGAATTATTCCCTCCATATGAATTCCAAAAATACCTAAAACTATTGGAGATTAATTATCCTCGCCCCTTCTCTGAAGGGAGAGGTAGCAGTTGGGAATTCATGGGGAAAGCATGGGGAAACATTCTGATATTCTGTTCATATTCTATATTCTGAATAATTAAGTATTTTGGAAGGGGTTACATAGGTGCATAGCATTATGCAAATCTTCGTCTAGGTATAGTCTCAAGATTTGGGCATGTTAATATATGAATGTTACACTTCAGTTAAAACAGTTCAGTTTCTTTTAATTCCCCTCAAATAACAATATTAATGATAATAGTTAGCCATTACTGAAACTTTATTATGATAAGAGTTTTGCATTAATTTCATCACTTTCTCCCTAGAATGAAGCCTATTGCATAGAAAGTTTTAATTCCCAATTCACAGATTATAAAAACTAAGGTTTAGAGAGGCTGACCAAGGTTCAACAGCAGGTTAAGTAGCAAAGCCAGGACTGGAACCTAGTCTGCAGTGGAGCTGATCTGAAGGGAAGCAACTGGAAGCAGAGAAGATGCAACTGGTTAGTGTTACTCTACCTTCCTCCAGAAATGATGCAAATGTGTTTTCAGGAAGGCAGCATGTTTTATGTGTTCGTGTGTGTGTGTGTGTGTGTGTGTGCGCGCGCGCACGCGCCTGCCTGTGTGTAAGCCTTCTATTGCCAACACTTTCTGCCTTGACTGTAGTCAAAAAAATGAAAACACATGTTCAATTTGACAAAGTCTATTTTGTGATACATCTCCTTTTTCTTGGAGCTGAGGACACAGGTGAGCCATGTGACCAATACATTTCCAACAAGTTTTCCATGCAGAGATGAGTGATGGCCAGAAGGAGGAGACATACACACTGACCATGACCTTGACTGACTACCAGACCTCAATCTAAGCAGGATAAGTCTTGATCACCCAAGGGTTTGACAAATGTAGCTTTTTAACCACATCTTCGCCATAGGTTAGGTAAATAGGGATTATGTGGAGATGAATTATAGCAAGATGATTTTCAAATACTCAGATCAACATAAGTTTCGATAAATGTATGTTTCACTCCAAAAGTTAGTTATATATTGGATTCTTAGGACATGTTTAAAGTAAATTATCACATTGCCTTTATTGGTTTTCATCCCCGTGGTAGTATTTCAACTCCCAGAAAGATATGGAAGTCCTTGGGGAAGTTTGTGATTTTTACACTAAACCAAGAGCACTTCTGGCACTTCATGAATAGGGATAGGGGATTTTGAATACACTAAAGTGAATGATCAGTCCCAGACACTAGAGTCATGTCAGCCCAAATATCTATCATGCCTTCTCAGAGGATCTCTGCAACAGAGGCAATGAGGTACTCTGTTCTAGTTGGAAATGCCTTACTCCTGCAGGTGAAACCACTTAACAATCTCCTTATAACAGTACAATTACATCCATCTATCTATACATGGATCATATATATATATTTCACTATATGCGTGTTTCCAATCTTCCTCCTACCCCAACTCAACATTCCTGTATGCCTTGCCAAGTTTCCAATGTTTTCTCACATCCTGAGTGTTCCTGCCTCAACAGATGTTCTTCTTTGTACTTTCTCAGAAGAGAATCAGGGGGACAGAAGCTAAAATGGTAATGACAAGAGGCATATTTGCAGAAGATAATTTTTCAAAAAGTTGGGAGCAGAACTGGAACAGCTGTGGAAGAAGGGTCAAAGTTAATCCCCTCTTCCAAAGAGCAAGCATATCAAGTTGTTGTCAGGAACCATGAGTATTAGCAGGTGCATGAAGAGAACTGATCCGAAGCTATGCATGTAGCCAATCCAACCAACTTTTTTCATACCTTTTGTTAGGGTAGAGTCCTTAACATGCTGATCAGAGAGGGTACCCATCCTATTCAGGGAGACATGGTACAAAGAAGCTTCTTGAAGCACATAGTCTTCAATCAGGCTTACACATATTTGCAGGAGAACACAGGTGCTATCTTACATTTTTAGCTCTAGTTTATGAATGAGTAAAGCAACAAGTGATTTATGTGTCCTGTCAAATAAGAACCCCCCAAAAATGCATAATCTTCTGGTATCTCATATAATTCTAGGCATATATTTTATGTATGATACTGCTGATAGTCCCTCTTTTGATTCTTTTATCTCTTTGTAGCATTGGTTACCATAGAGACAAACATAACACTGCCCTGGGCAATGCTTATGGAAATGTATCAGTAAAAGTGAACATCAGTTTATTAGGTAATGACTTTTCCTGTTTACACAATTAACTCTCAGAAGGTAGCCTGTTTATGAAACATACATAAATAAGCCACATGGGTGAAGTCACTGTTCATGTGCTCAAGCATTCAGATGGCTAGACAATTAAAAGTAAATGACCTGTGCTATTATTCAATATTGACTCTTCTAACAATTCAGTATCTAGGTTGACGTATTTCTAGATCCCAATTACTCAGCAGCTAAATGTTTGAATTGTTTCATACTTAGCTTTCAATAACTGTGAAATATTTTCAGCCTCTCGTGTTTGAAACAGGCTATGAATTTTTGTTTGTGTTGCTATGGTGATCTATAGTGTCACCATTTTAATAACCACATCAAGTGCAGGCACTAAGTAGCAATGTAATACCTCTACATAATTTAACACCAACTATAACAACCTGTGATATAATTGAAAATATTTCATAAGGAAATTTAAAGTAAATAGAAATAAATTACCCCAAGACTGAAACATAAATATTTGAGGAATGAGCATGAACACTGATGATAGAAAAATCCCTTTCTAATAATTGGTGCAAATCCATGGTTAGTTGTAACCAGACCAGTTTTTGTTTTCTATCTTGCAAATAGAGAAAATTAAACACATACAAATTACTAGGGCAGGAGGCATCAGGACCTTTTTCTACAGACTTCAGTGATGCATTTATAGTCATTAACTCTTGGATCATGGGTCATTAGTCTTTGGCAATACTGAAGACTGAAGTTGTATGGTAGATTCCTTAATGAGCTGATGAGAGGGAGACTCTTGTCATCCAAGGAGAGATGGTACAAAGGAGATCTAGTGGCTTAAACTAGAAATGAGGTCGTTTCATATTTCCTTCACCATGTATGTTTTCCTCCTGCTTGATGAAGAGACTTGCCTGTCTCTTCACAGCCAATTCCCAAGTGAAGATGAGTTGGCAACTGGTCAGATGTGGGGCCCTGAAACATGGACCACAGAGTGGGTGAGCCAAGGTAGGAGATACAGAAGGTGAAGCAAGATGCTGAGAAGGAAAAGAATAAAATTATCTCCTGAAAAACAAACATACAAATCCCTTTCTCATTCCCAAGGGAACCATTAATTTGATTCAAGAGACCTCTTTTCCTTGTACTTCAGAAAAGCTGACCTAATTGCCAGCTCCAAGATGCATAAACCCAGCATCCTGTTGATGACAATGTTTGGTCCAAGGGTAAACACATGTCCTGAGTTGCCTCAATCAGACTAAAGGAAGGGACCTCATAGTTTCTGATTAGGGAAATGATTATTTTCTCTCTCCTTTTGACTCTCTGTGATCAAGTGAGCACATAGGTCAAATGAAAATTCTAGTGCAGGGCTCCCCAATCCCGGCCTATAGCCTATCAGGAACTGGGCCACACACAGCAGGAGGTAAGCAGCAAGTGAGTCAGTGAAGCTTCATCTGTATTTACAGCCACTCCCCATCATTTGCATTACCTTCTGAGCTTCACCTCCTGTCAGAGCAGTGGCAGCATGAACCCAAATGTTAACTGCATATGTGAGGGATCTGGGTTGCACGCTCCTTATAAGAATTTAATGCATGATGATCTGTCATGGTACCCCATCCCTCCCAAATGGGACTATCTAGGTGCAGGAAAACAAGCTCAGGGCTCCTACTGATTCTATATGATAGTGAGTGGTATACTTATTTCATTATATGTTACAACATAATAATAATAGAAATAAAGTATGCAATAAATATAATTTACTTGAATCATCCTGAACCCATCACCCCAACCTGCCCCAGTCTGTGGAAAAATTATCTTCCATGAAACCAGTCCCTGGTGCCAAAAAGGTTGGGGACTGCTGTTCTAGTGGACACCTGAACAGAGAGAGAAAAAGAGCCCTATGTATTAAGGATTTGGTTGAACAGCTGAAGTGACTGAAGTTGGAGGATTTCCTTCTTTGGGCTTTGCAGTGTGAGCTACTGATTTTCGTGTTATTTTAAATAGGTGCGAGGCAGCCTTCTCAAGATCTGTAGCTGGAAGCAGCATCTTGTCTGCTACAAGGCTACAGCAGTCGAGTAAAATATCCATGTTCCCTTGATTCAAGGAGCTTTCAGCTCTAGGGAAAACATGACATCTTCATGGTCTGGCCTTGAGCCTGAGGAGCACTGAGAAGTCACTCTAGGGAAGATGCTGTTCTGGAAGGGAAGCAGGACCCTAAAACACTTCAGTGCACTCCATAAAATGGTTGGGGCAAGTCAGATGTGTGGCGCTGACTTGGAGGCCCTCTCTGGAGTGCGGAGTTGACTTGGAGGCCCTGTCTGGAGGACAACAAATGTGATTCCTACATTATGACCCCTAAAAGAAAACATAGTGGCGATGTCAGTCAGTGTCCTTTTTGTGGTTTCCAGTAAACAGTTGGAATAATTTGTGAAATCTTAAGGCTAGTATTAATAAAGAACATTATTGCCACCCACAGGCCTGAAAGATAAACAAGACAAAGTGGTTCCTACAACCTGGAGACCAAGAAGGCTGCCAGGCAGGAGCTGTGATTGCAGCTGAAAGATGTAGCCAGTCTTTAGCAACTCCACATGGAGGAAGCCAGGAAAATAAATACTCAAATCAATCACAATTTCTTTTTCTGCTATTTCTTGTCCATGCTCTGAATTTTTCAAAATCGACTAGAAGCTAGAGAGCAAGGGAGACCTTTGGTGAATCTACTCTGAATATGGGGCACAGAGCAACGGGGAGAGAGGTGATCAGGAGACACCCAGTTTAGGTGCCTGCCTCTTCCTCATTAACAACTTCTGCTTCACTCAGCGTTCCTTTGTGCCCAGCTGAAAAACTGCATTCTCCATTCTCTTACATTTGCTGTGACTATGATGTGGAACTGGAACTAACAAAAAGGAAGAACAACAGAGGAGGTGCAAGAAGCAAGAGAGGGAAAGCACCGTGGTGGAACAGTGGCTGATAGTTTTCTGGTAGAATGCTATGAAAACATTTAATAATGAGCATGTTCCATATCCAGTGATTTTACTTATTTTTTAATTTTGATAGTTAAGTATTTAAGTGTTCCTTTTGTGCCAGGGAATGTATTATGGACCAAAGAGTAATGAAATAAAGATGCTATTTCACTTCCTGCACTCATGGAATATGTTAATGTGGAGAAAGGGAAGACAAATGATATCCATATATCTATATTTATATACCCTTCTGATAAAGATGATGCCAGTAAAGCAAAGCAGAATGATGCCAGTAAAGCAAAGTAAAGCAAAGCAGAATGAAATGCATGAAAATTGCCAATCTGTAAGTGACAGATCTAAATAGTCAGAAAGAGCCTCTTTTGAGGACAAATTGTTGGCAGGTAGCTGGAGAAGAGCAGAAATAACAGCTTTCCTGGGGCTACAGTTCCTTCTTGGAATGCTATCCACACATACAAACTTTTTTCTCCCTTCTTTATGTGGATCAAATACATATACCAAAAAAATGCAATACATCTTCAGGCTTGAGAAATAAAAGTTCTCTTAGAGAAGTTTAGGTCCACATTCACAACATCCATAGAAATAAAATCCACATTGTTTAGTGCAAAGGGTTGGCTACTGGGAAAAGACTTGGCTGCCATATCAGGAGAGCCTGTGGAATTTATCAAAGAGCGTTGTTGCTTATCCTGTGGTTTCTTGTATTCACCAAAGCAATGTATCACCAGACGACAGAAGTAAAACTCTTCTCTTCTTTTTTCTCTGTGGTTCATTTAATGGAGATAAAGCCTCCCAGTACAGCAGTCAGTGAAGTGTACTCTTTCCTAATAACCTGATGAAAGACACATGAAAAGATGGAACATAATTGGACCAATCCCTCATCCTGGAGCACAGTCTAGCTGATTTCAGCAGGATTCACATATTATGGACAGGAAAAATAAGTACCTGAATTATAAGCAACGGAGATTCTGGTAGTGTTATCTAGCATTATTACAACAATGGCTGCCTTATAGAATGCATCACCATTGCAAGCCAGATTATTGCTGCATTAATTCACAAAACAGGGGTAATATTAAATACATGTAATATTAAATACAAATAATATTAAATACATACTTTTTAGACATTTTTCAGGATTAAAAAATGTACAAAGGTGTGTTTATCATAGTGCCTGGCATAGCAAGAGTTTTCTAATTGTGATATTGTTGTTCTTAACATAACTTATTTAACCTACACGCATTGTTAAGCATGTTTTTTTCCTGCCAAATGTAGGGTCTTGACAATTTTTTCATCAGAAGAGGTGAATTTTCAGAATATCCAAGTTGTTCAGGCCTTTGTAAATCTGTCTGCTTAAGAATTACTTACACATCATAGTCAATATTTGGGTATCTGAATCCAAATTGTGCTACTGATGTTTTACATACAGTTTAATACAAAACTTTAGGCAAGTGAAATTTAACCAACTTTATATGAGCAAAGAACAATTCATAAATAAGGCAGCACTCCAAACCAGAAGAGGTTCAGACAGCTCCGCTCAGCAGTCATAATCAGCAAATTTGTACAGGCTGAATAAGTAAGCAAAGGAGAAAAGTTACCCGGTTGGCCTCACCTAAGCGGCTGCCTTATTTGAGCATCATGTGATGAGGCATTTGCCTTATTTGGGCATAGTCTTGCTGGTCGGAAGCCTGTGATTGGCTGAAATCTGGCTATCTGCTACAAAACATTTACTCCTAATTTAGGTTTGGGTTTATGTACTAAATCAGGCTGTGATTTATTATGCAGGAACTCAAAACACAGAAACCACCTCAGGTTGTCTTCCTGCTTACTTAACAGTGCTGACAGGTATGAAAGAAAATAGAATCTCAAGACCACAAACTCACCACGCCAAAGGAAAGTGAAGCTGGGAAACTAAGTCACGCAATACTGCCTTCCTTTTGTTTCCAAATAGCTGTAATTTCACAATCCTGTGTCCTAGATTCATCCAGAAGCCAGGTTCCCACAAAAAAAGGTCACATATCTCCCCAGATGGCCTCCCTCACACATTGCTCCCAAGGAAATTCCCTGCCAGTTGCTGAATCTTCCAGGATACACAGCTCCTCCAGAAGTTAGCCCTAAAACAGTTCTGCTGAATCTTACCCTGACAATATCAGTTACCAGCTTATCTTCATAGGACAAGGAGAATATTAAAAATCCACCATGGGCCTATCCTAAGAGGAACTCATTATTGACTATTTCCTCTACTCCCTCTTTTCACATGTAAAATGCAGATTTACTAGGGTAAACGGAGCTTCACAAGAATGTAAGCATTTGCCACTGCCTACCCTCCCTCACTTTTTTTCCTCTCCTACTTGCTGTTTCCCCTTTAAATACTGAGGTTCCCAAAACCCTCTTCGGAAAAAGCACACGTCACAGATGCTCCTGTGATCCTGTATTTTTTCCTAGACGTGACCTTGACCTTGGCTAAATAAGCCTCTATGGATTGAGGTCTGCCTCAGTCATGTTTTGAACACAGGGTTTGTCCAACACTAACTGAGAAGTTGGTGACTGAGGATACAGAAGACAGGACTAGCAATTCCCTTGAATAGGCAGGAGATGATAGCCTGCCCCATGCACAAATGACTGGTGAATATGAGGGCTTACATAGGAACATGACCCTTTACCTATGGTAACGGGAGGAAAGCAGAGTTCACCACACAGAGCAGCAGGATTGACCTTGGCCACCTCTGCTGTCTCATAAAGTAAGCAAGGCCGTAGGGTAAAATTCACACAACTGAAGTCAGTTCATCCCCAGGTGTCTTCCTCCCCTAATATGGGGTGTTGCTCCTGTTGGCTTTTCTCTGTGTAAGTCCTGATCTGGGTAACTTCAAGTCATCTTCTTTTTTTTTTTTTTTTTCATTTTTCCCCTTTGAGACAGGGTCTTCCTCTGTTGCCCAGGCTGGCATGCAGTGGTGCAATCTTGGCTCACTGTAGCCTCCACTTCTTAGTCTCAATCAATCCTCCCACCTCAACCTCCCTAGTAATTGGTACTACTGGCCTGCACCACCATGCCTAGCTATATTTTGTGTACGTGTGTGTGTGTGTATATATATGTATGCACACACACACATATATATATACTTTTTTTTTTGGTAGGGAGTCTTGCTACGCTGCCCACCTTGGTCTTGAATTCTTGAGCTCAAGCAATTCACCTGCCTCAGCCTCCCAAAGTGCTGGGATTACAGGCATGAGCCACCGTTCCAGCTACCCAAGTCATCTTAAAAGACCCCCTACTTGGGGGACTTGACCACCATGGTTTGGCCTTTGGCCTGGGGTTCAGGGAGCTCCTAGGGACACCTCGGAAGGAACAGATCCTGCCCTGTGGGACTCGCAGGCTCTGGAGCTCCCTCTGCTTCAGGCCCAGGTGCTGGGACAGGCGTGCTCCTAGGCAGGAAGAGGGGTAGCTGTGGTATCCGAAGCCCGTTTCTCCTAGCCACGCCTGGAGGCGTGGTTTCCGGGTCTGAATCATGGTGCCCGGCCTCGTTGTCTTCCCGCCAACTCCCAGCCCTCAAGAAGGGGAGGCTTCCAGGGGCACGCCCAACTCCCACCAGGGGCCAGGTCTCCCTCGGGACGCCCTGCGACTCCAGGCGGCGGGTTTGTGGAATCCACGCTGGACAAGGCCCGCAGCTAGACTCCCTCCCGGGCTGAATCCACGGTGTCGTGCTGCGGGTCTACAAGGCCGCCAGCGTCCTCCCCGCCATGTCTCCACACCACGCCTGATTGGCAACCCGCGAGGCGACGACTTCGTCCGCACGTCTCCAGGAGGTACTGGGCACATCCTCCGGGTCCTGAGGCTGCGACCTGGGACTCGGGGTCCTGGGGTGCTGGGGACCGCCCAGCAGCCCCGTCCTCTTCGTCATCATCCTGCGCTCGCCTGCAGAGCCGCCGACATCTGCAGAGAGCAAGGCCGGCGACTATGCCGCGCGCAGACGCACACGGCTCCCACTGCGCCTAGGAGGGCGGGGGCGGGGCCTCATGCCGCGGTAGTTCGGGCCAGGCAGGTGGGTTCCCTTGCGCAGGCGCAGACGGCGAAGCTCACGTTCTCACGAGAGGGTGGTGGTGGCCCCGGGTGCGTGAGAGACGCCTGCGCACAGGCGCAGACGGCGGGGGTAGGGTTGGGCGGGCGGTAGGGGTGACCTGGGCGCAGGTGCGTGCTGCAGGTGCGTGGCCATAGGAGCATCTGGACCGTCCCTGAGGGGTTACAGCCGTCCCTGAGGGGTTACAGTTGATAATCTCGTTATTCCTACAGTCTCTAAAAGTGTGTTTGTGTTTTTCTTTGTTTTGGTTCAGATGTGGAAATGCATCTTGTTCCAGTACATCACATTCCAGGGAACAAAGAATTCCTTTACAAAGCCGGGTGTCGTCATTTTCTTAGAAGAACCACTGCAACGGTAATCAAAGTTGACTCTGCTGGAAAGGCAGGGGAGACGGAAATGATAACATAAGCAGCCGGCTGTGTCATTTCTAATATTTGTATCTTTTTTTCCCAGTAATTCGTGCCCACGGCTGAGTTTAGAGTCACCTGCTTGTTTACCTACTCGCGCACACACACACATACGTAAAATATAGTAAACCCTACTGATAAATCAGAATTCCCATCACAGATTGCCTTTCATTTCTAATTAATGGAGAATTCTGAAGAGGGAAAGCTGTGAGGAAGCATTCCCTAAATAGCAAGTGCATACGAAATGTTTTTATTGCATGTAACTTATATGAAGGTGCCAACAGTAAGGCTTCATCAAGTTTTAGTTTATTTGTGGAAAACTGATTTCCAATTTAAGCCATTTATTAATTCCATGTTTCAGAGAAACTTGACCGAGCACTTGCCATGCTTCCAGCCCCGTTCAAGGCAACAGGGTTATGGTCTTGAATAAGAGAGACAGAGTTCTCATCTCTAGACAGACTGGCAGTAAGCCCGAAAATAGATCAATACACAATATAATTTCAGATAGTGACTTTTTGCTACAAAGCCAAAAGTAAATCAAGGTGAGCAGATAGCGTATTTTTAGAGGAGGTGCTACTTGAGATAGAGACGTGAGGCTTATGTCTTACTCATGCAACCTGCCTTTCGAATGGAGGTGGAGTGCTGTACTTTGCATTGTTCTCATCCCAGGACTGTCAGACATTACAGAACAAAGGAGAGAATTGGGAATACTTGCACTGTCTCTTAAAGCTTCAGTCCAGAAATGATATTCACCACCCTTGCACATATTTCACTGGT